CTCCTCCTCCTCCTCCTCCTCATCATCATCATTATCACTGCGGTCGGGAAGGTAGGGTAGGACAGTGGCGGATTGTCTTATTGTATTTAGATTTGTTTATCCTAAAGGGTGGTTTCCAGAAAGAACACAGCATGTTTGATTTGGGTATACTTGTTGTTATAAGAAAATAGACAGCGCTATCATAGACATAATTATTATCAGTATCATTATCATTATCACCAGCAGCAGCAGAACACCAGCAACCTCCTCCTCTTCGTCGCCCTCCTCCTCCTCCTCCTCCTCCTCCTCCTCCTCCTCGTGGTAGAGAGAACGTTCTACTTGTAAGGTCATCATCATCCGGTGCCTTGATTATATTATGAAGAACATCAGCATACTCCTCCACTTCCTCCTCTTCTTCCTCCTCCTCCTCCTCCTCCTCCTCGTGGTAGAGAGAACGTTCTACTTGTAAGGTCATCATCATCCGGTGCCTTGCCGACTGGCGGGGGCGATTATGGGCCTCTACTTCCATCTGTCTTGCTTTGCAGCTATGGAATCTATTGTTCTTGCTGCTCCCATCCATGTTGTTAACTTTTCCAGTATCTTTTTCCATCTGTCTGCCTCTGCCTCTCTTTCCATCAAACTTGCCTGCTTTTACAGTATTCTCAAATGCTTCTTTCCGTATTGTGTGTCCAATGAAATTTGCCTGTCACTTTCGTATATTCGTCATATATAAGCTGTCGCGTGCAATTTGCTTCAACTAATACTTCTTCCCTTGTTTTTCTAGCCTGTCCATGGGATACGTAGCATGCGTCTTATGAACCACAACTATGTCTCCTCAATTGTCCTTTTCAGCCGTCTATTGATTATCCATGCTTTGCACCCGTATAATAGGATTGGCTCGATGTAACTTGTAAGGTACCGCAGCAAAATATCTCTGATACTCTAGGCCTAAGGTAGGAATTTGTCTCCACAGGAAGGTGACAATAGTATCATTGTGGGTTTCCGGTCAGCAGTACTTGAGGCACTAGAGCGCGACCAGAAGTCCAGCTACGAGATCCCGCCCAACTGCCCGCCCCCGGTCCAGCAAGGCCAGTGTCACGTGAATCAGCTGAGGAAAGAGCAGTGCAGCTTCAGCTGGGATTGGGGACCCTCCTTCCCCACACAGGGCATCTGGTGAGAGGGGGGGGGGGAGCGTACTGGTGGTCGGCGTGATTGAGGGGAGGGGCGTGGGAGAGAGAGAGAGAGAGAGAGAGAGAGAGAAAGAGAGAGAGAGAGAAAATAAAGTGAGAGAGATACAAGGAGGCAGAGAGACTAAGAGGAAAGAAAGAAATACAGGGAGAGTAAGAGGGACCTTAGATTCTGACACAGAGGTAGTGAGACAGAGAGAGGGGAAAAAAAAGAAAAAAGAAAGAAAGAGAGAGAGAGAGAGAGAGAGAGAGAGAGAGAGAGAGAGAGGGACAGAGAGAGAGAGAGACAGAGAGACAGAGAGACAGAGAAAGAG